GATGTACTACATGTACTTTACCTCCAACATTTGAAAGAATCAAAGAAATTGTCTGGGCAAGACTCTACATGTCAGACAGCCATAAGGGTATACTGGACTCTGGTTGTACATTTGTGGCAATAAATACAAAGCTGGGGATGAGTGAGAGCCCTTCCAAAGTGGTGTTCTGGTTTTGTTGGAAGGGGAGTCACTGGTGTAATTGCCCAAACTAGCAGCACAAGCTGTGTGCCACTCCTGAAGAGCAGTAGCGGAGCTGTTCCCAGCAGCCCTCAGTGGAGCAGCGTTGCCAGGTGTGTACGACGCAGCAAACCATCATGGGCGAGAGAACCCCTGAGACAAGCCATAGGCTCTCCGGGTGGCTTGGTTGTGAAAAGCAAGCCACCCCACAGAAACACGGCCTGGTTCAGATGACACAGCAACCCGTCGTGGGTGTTGCCACGTGGTGGGGTTTTGTGTCATGCAAACCTGGTCATCCTCTTTGCTCATTCTTGACATTTTGGGGGCTGGTGAGCCATCGTTTGCCACTCTGTGTCATCCCCACCCGCACCCTGTGCAAGGCCACCATGTGGCTCCCGGGGAGACGCTGTGTGGAAGTGACTGCTGCTCAGCCCAGTCATAATGCTCGAGTGGGAGGATACGATAAGCCTCTTCCTCTTGTTTCAAGCACAATATCTTAGTCATGCTTACTGAAAGGGTGGTTGGTGGGCAGAAGCCCTGCAAGGAAAGTAAATGCCAAATAGTAGAGTAGGCTTTGTGGGGGGAGAGATACCGAGCCTGTGTGTGTGTGTGTGCATGCGTGTCTGTGTGAGTGCTTGTATTTGTGTATCTATTGTGTCTATTGAAAAACAGTAATCTCTTGAACCAAGGTGTTGCGGAGGAGCATTCAGAATGTCTGGTGTTCGTTGCTGGTTCTCAGTCGTGATGGGAGGGCACTTTGCACATGTTCACGGGGCACTGCAAGAACGCAGAAAACAATTTACCGCTGGGTAAGCCAGCCAGCTGAACTGTGTTGTGTAGCTTCTTGCGTACCCTCCCGCTTCAGATCCTTCTTCAAATCCTCTGTCTCCCAAGAAGTGGGCTTTGGGCTTCATAGCAGTGTGGGTGGTGGCTAAGTACAGGTAAAGCAAACAGCATGGATATTCTTACCCTTAGCGCTACTGTATTTATATTTATTATTTAATAAAGTAATGATCCACCATTTTGCTAAAATGGTGCTCAGGAGGAATGATTGTAAATTGCAATAAGGGCAGAAATACAATTAAAACATAGAATTAGATGAAAAACGCAATAAAACGCATTAATAAAAAAGGACTTACACACAACCAGCTAGAAGAACTTTTCTTGATTGCATCCTAGTTTAGATGGCAAAGCCTCTCTGAATAAAAATGGTTTTGCCAACCAGAAGGAGGACAGGAAAGAGGGACTCATCCTGGCATCCCTCAGCAAGATGTGTCGGAGCCTCGGAGTGGCCACTCGTTTCACATGTTCAATTTGTATGCTGCTTGGGGCATAGCCCTATTGTCTTGTTATCTTCTTGTGGAATCATATACCTTGTGGCAACTTTCTGCATGTTATAGCAAGCAACTAAGTATATAATCTAGCTGAAACAATAGCGTATTTCCCCGTTTTTTGTTTTAAAGTTATGCATATCCTGCTTTTCTTCCCTAATAGCAGTAAGAGGAAGGTACATGGGGGAGAAGGGCAATAACAAACCGCAAAACTTATTGCAGCCAAAATATCCAGGAAGGCTTCAAATCCAGATCGAAGAGAGCAGTTTTAAGTGTCTTCTAAACATGGGCAGGGAAAGGAGTGTATTCCAGAGGTAGGGGCAGCCATGGAAAAGGCTCTCTCATGTATTGGTATCTTACGCATACTCGGGCGGACAGCAAGAAGTGCCTCTACAGACATATCAGTTCTGGGGGCAGGATTGTATGGAAGTAGGTAAAGGTAGACTTCAGAGAAACCTGTTCCCAAGCCATTAAAGCCAAGGATGAGCCTTTTGCCCCCCCCCCCCCCCCATTATTCATTAGCGAGGGAGAGATAAAATTTAAACAGATCCTCAAGAGTTATTGTTGGAACAGACAGCGACACTTCAGGGCATGTTACGGAAGCCCATGCAGGTGTCATGTTGCAGGTAGTTTAGGTGCTGAGAACAAGTGTGGGGGGAACAGACACATGCGGGAAGTCAGTACTCTGGGGGGGGGGGGCATAATTGAAATACGGAAACCAGTGGGCAGATAAGTGAATTTTGATTTAGTTTACTGTGGGAAGAGATCACAGAGACAAATTGTATCCTGTGTCCACAACGGGGAGGGGGGGGGATGGAAGCATGTATCTATGGGGCGGGTGCTGAGTTCTGATGTAGTAACAACAAAAAGTGTATAGTGTAGTGTGCACACAACAGTGCATTGTGGCTTCATATAACCTAAGGATGGGGTGCTGATTGGCTCCAGTCCACCACATCCTGTTTCCCACAGCCGCAGGTAAGGCGTGTGCCCCTGGAAGTGTGCAAACAGGACATGGGGGCAGAAGCCCTCTGCCTCTGCCTCCTCCCAACTGGTTTTCAGGGTCTTTCTTTTCCTGAGGAGTAGATAAGCCACCCTGATTAACAGACATGCATGGTTTTATCCTCCTTTTGTTGGAGACTGTGTCCATACTTTTTCTCGAGGTCACCAGGAAAGTCCCATAACTGAAACAGTACATCATCTGCACGGCATTCAGAAGGTCCCAGAATCAGTCCCTGGTGTACCCAGGATCCAGTGAAGCGGAAGGGCCTGTGGCTGAGGTAGCGCAATATGAGAAGATATGTTGCAGTGTTGACTTAGGGTGATGGGAGTTATAGACCAACATAGGCAGTGTCGTGCTAGATGAGGGATGGGGAACCATTTGCAGCCCAAAGGCAGAAATCCGTTTCCAAGCGGCTCTTGTGGGCATATTCCAGTGTATAGTGGGCTGGAGGTTAAAAATAAAGGGGAGGAGTCAAAATACTACCATAATGTTGCTTAAAGCCAATAACTAAGCCTTGGGAGAGGCATTCTAACCATTTAGAATGGCGGGTGGGGGGTGGTTGGAAAGAAAACCAGGAAGCTGCCAAATGATAGGTGGTTGGACAAAGGGGGTGGGGCCAGGGGAAGAGGGTCTGGGGGACTCTGGGCGTCCTGCATTCACCCCCCATGCCTGTGATTCTACAACCTAGGCTAGATGGACAAACAGTTTGAACTGACATAAGACAGTTTCTTATGATTCTTATGCCTCGAGTCTCAAGATTCCGAAATCTTAAAAGAGGACTTGCTGATTATGTTGCCTCCCTTACATAGCAATTCATAAAGAAAGTGCGGTTTGGTTTGGTCTTCTTATGCGTTCATGTGTCATAGCCGGGCAATCGTTGAAACTCATTCCAATTCACCTCTTGTTGCTGCAGCTTTTATGGAGAACAAGGACTTCCTGGTTCCCTTATCTAGCCAGTTCCTGTTGGGACCAGTTGAATCTTGTCTTGGGCAGCAGGGCAGAAACAGGAAGAGAGTGTAGTGTAGGTATAACCTGACCTTCTAAGCCAGAATAATCTGGTATCTGACAGATATTTTTAAAAAATCCCCCTGCTGCTCACACCTCAGGGATGTTTGCTTAGAGATTTGTTTGTTTGTTTGAATTACAATCTTAATTAACAATTTATTTCACTGAAAAGTAAAATCATTATTATATGCTGTTTCTGGAAGTAGTGGTAGTGTAAAAGTTTTATTAGGGCCAGATTTTCACAAAGTAGTGAGCAGGTTTCTGAGTTAACTGTGACTCCTGTTAACACTGGATGGTAAGGGCAAAAGAAAGGCGCAGATGGTGTGGAAGAAAGTGAGAAATGGGATGTTGGTGGGCATGATGGAAAAATCCCAGCCTGCAGACCATAATATTCTTAAGATTGAGGGGAGGAGGTGTTTTGCAGACTGAATTAAGTTACATTAGGTTTGGTGTAAAAAGATCTCAGATTGCAGCAAGGCATACTGGAGTATGAAGGAACAAGAGTTATGTTTCTTTTTTAGAATAAAAACCAATAGTTTCTTTGCCTCCAATTCTGCTTCTGGTCTACCTGCAGTTTTATCTCCTGTGTTCTTCAATATCCAAGTATTTCTGACTTATTTATCAGAAACAACCGAGCAACTTAAAAAGTGACAGATTCATTCTGGCAGCAGCTTTCGTGGAGCAGAACCCATTTCACTGGGTGCATGGAGCATTATGCAGAGTTTCCGTACAGTACATATGATGTGGATGAGCATCCATGCACCATTTAGCAATGGAGGTTTGTTTTAGGATTCACGCGGAAGAAAAGAGCAACCCAAGACTTTGGTTGAGCAAACAATTCTCTTCCTTTTCCACCCCTTCTATCAGTGGAGGCCTCAGAAGAACAAGCTTGGGGTTTCCAGGCAGATTTCTGTTCTGAAACTGTGACTACATTGCGGAAAAGGCCATCTGTAACCGTGTTAGCTTGCGAGTGACGGAGAATATCCTTAGCAAAGAGTTGTTGCAGCCGGACCAGCTGCTGGTGGCACTACAGACACTGTTCCTAGGGCATGTCTGTCATTGTTCTCCCAGTTGTAATCTGGGCCCCTCGCTAAGAAATACTGACAGCACCCTAAATTGAGTCAAAAGTATACAGACCGATAAAGATCAATTTGCTAATTTTGTTTTTTGGCAGTCAAGATTTGATATGTGTACAAACTTCATTTTTTCTCTTTAAGTCCCATAAACTAGTTCAGCTTATCCTTAGTAGAATGAAAGGGGTTCCAGCCCCCTCTTCCACTATTAAGAAAAACTGCATAATAAAAATTAGAATTGGATTTATTTGGGATTGGAAGCAAGTTCAAATCAAGGTGTTATTAGCATAATAAATGAAAAAGAAAATACACAAATGAAGAGAATGAACAATAGCAGTACAGAACTAGAATATTTGTTTTGTTAATAAAACAGTCCGTTGTATTACTGCCCTTTTTTCTTTTTTGCTTTTGCAGAAACCGCCGCCTGAGCAGTGAAATCCAGCTTCCTGTTAAAGCACTAGCCAGCTTGCCATCGGCAACCAAGAATTCTATGCAGGTGAGTGAATGGGCTCGCGCAGTCGAGATGAAGGGCTCCTCTCATTTTCTAGTGCTCAATATAAAATGAAAGTGACTTGCAAAAGGAGGGAGTTCTCTTGTCTATGCCCAGCATAGAAATGTAGCTCTTGTCCCTCTGCCTTCATCTTCCAGGTAGCTACAGTGCTACCTGGGCTCACGAACTTAATCTGTTCCAGCACTCTGGTCGTGACCCGAATTGGTCGTGACCCAGGTCAAATTTCCCCGTAAGGTAAGGTTCAATGTAAATAAGGTTAATCTGTTCTGAAACATTTTTTTAATCACAAAAATTTGAAACAAAGTGACAAAGAACAACAAAGTACTGTACAGTAGAGAACACTAACCTTGGCTGGAGGGAGGTTATTGTTTGGAGGGAGAGTCCAAAGGATAATCAAGCGATAGTGATTGTGCTTGTGGGGGGGGGGGGAGATGGCTGCGATCACGATCATGCTCATGCAGCCCCCCCCCACCAGCACGATCATGGCCATCTTCCTGCATGAGCGCGACCACGACTGCAGCCATCTCCCCCTCCCCGAGCACAATCATACAGGGAAGACGGGCGCGGGCACAATCATCACCCAATGAGGAGTTTGCGACCTGAGGCAAAATTTTGCCAAAATTACCCTTTGCAACCCGATTTGGTCGTGAACTGAGGCATTCATGGGCCAAGGCACCACTGTACCGGTAACCTTTGCAGGCCAGTAACCTTATGGGCTTATTTACAAGGCTGGTTAAATCAACTCGCTCTGGTCGGGCACGTGTGTACAGAATCCATTCCTGCTGCCAGGTAGAGAACTGAAACAAGCTGGGGGCTCCATCAGTGGGTTGCTTGCTCTGTGACATACAACCCACGAATGTTGGTTTGAGTCTTGCCTGACAAGCCGGAGCAACTGAGCAACATAAATTGGCATGGCTGCTTTTTTGCAACAGGCAGGTGTTGCTCTTAACATTTAAAAGCAAACAGACAAGCGCGCTTGTACAAGGGTGTCTTTGTTGTGGGTAAGGGGAGTTATAGATTCCTGAACATGCTGCTTTCCATGTTTCATTATTTATGATAATATGCTCTGCAGAGTACTCTATTTGGTTCCAGTCCAGCAAGTTGCAGGCTAATGAACTTGACAAATAACTGTTCTTGGCCAACCTAGACCTGAGCAAACAGAGTTGTTATTACCCAGGGATCTGACATCTAAGAACAGAATGTTTAGGTTGTTGGGACTGAGGGAAGAGCATATGTTTCTAATGCTGATTTTTCACAAGTTGCAAAACTGAACCATAATGTCAGAGGAAAAACTGTTCTATATTCCAGTTGGCAAAAGATGTAGGAAGACATTGGGAGGGGGTGGGGCAGCTGCCATTGCAATCTAACTCTTTTCTTGATTTTGTCAGTGATGTACATCCTTGTTTTTCAAATATAAAGGAAATGGTGGAGCTGGGCTCAGAAAACTGCAGTGAAGGTTATTTGAGGCCCTCAGAAAGGCTTTTAACTGCTAACTCGGGTCGTTTTCCTCTAGGCCTAAGTATATTAAGGACTCTCACTAGAATAATTACGCAGGAATGTGTGAGCAACAGCTGGCCATTGAGGCTATTATTAATCATATTATTGGCATTTCTTAGTAGGTAAAGCCCTTTTAATGATCTTTACATTCGCATAGCAAACGTGCATGGCAGACTAATGCTGCCTCTCCTTAAAGCCGCAGGGATCCCCGACACCACGACCTGTGCTATGTCTTCGTTGCCAGGAGCTGCAAGCTGTCATTTAGGTTGACAGTTATGTCAGGCCGTCTGGGCATTGTGGGGTTTTTTCCTGAAAGGGTCACTCATAGCTGCCTGTCATGGCCTAGTAAACCCAAACCTGTGTCCAGGAGGCCCATTGAGCCTCACCGACAAGGAACCCTTTCACACATGCAGGTAGCCTGACAGACCATGACACTGCATAAGGCAGCTTTTGGGCTCCCACAGTGGTATTTGTCGTTTTCCCTGGGGTCAGGAAGTTACAAGGTTGCTGTGCTCAACTGCCCTCATTCACACATGCACTCATTCACACTCATGCATCCCACCCCCACCCGTACCGCCACTGGGCTGTGCCGTCCTTTCTCAGCCATGCCGTTTCTCTTCCAGCAGGAAGCATTGCATGTTGGTACTTGTAGTTATTTCTGCCAGCACAGCCATGTTAAGTAAGACACAAGGAGAGCTGCCATCTGCTCTTCACAGCAGAGCCGAAGCACAGTCCTTGCAGGCTAGTGGCAGCCTGCCAGCAGGGCTCTCAGCTGGAACTGTGCTCGGGTGCATCTGTGCCAAGGCTGGGATGTCTCTCCGGCGCTGGGATCAGGTGACCCTGCTGTTGCTGCCGCTGCCACTGCTGTTGACTGCTGCACACCCAGACGTCATTACAGCTTTCTGGAGAAGAATCCACGGTTGGCAGCCTGCCAAGATCAGCCTCCTGGGGCCAGGTCTCTGCCTAGGAAGCAGAGCTGAGAGGCAGAAGAGCCTGGCTGGAGGTTGGAAGCCGAACAAATAGCTCTTATTCACCTCAGCTTTTCGAGGCTCATTCTGCTAGGAATATGTCTAGGTTCCCTTCCCCATGCCTCTGACCCAGTGTTATGTAATAGCTAACGATGTTGAACTAGGAGCAGGGAGATGAATGTTCACATCTTGCACTGAGAACCATTTTGGGGTAGAAAACAGGGCGAAAAATTAAATCCCCATTTGAACAAAAAGCTGAGTTGCTTGACAGTCTCTCTCTCTCTCTCTCTCTCTCTCTCTCTCTCTCTCTCTCTCTCTCTCTCACACACACACACACACACACACACACACAGAGAGACAGAGACAGAGACAGAGACAGAGACAGAGACAGAGACAGAGACAGAGACAGAGCCTGGCCCAGGTTGCAGGATTGTTGTGAGGATAAAAGAGAAAGGGGAGAACAGAAGGATGGGAATTTATCGCCTTCTTTTCCTTTGGGAAGCTGCCATTAGGAACAATTTTTGCTTCATTCTGCTTCTTCGGCTGCCTTTGCAGTACCCAAGCTCTGTTAGACAGATGCCGAAGGCTGCCGTGCTGGATATTTGGACCCCCTTTACGTAGATGTGACATCAAGTCCTCTCTGAGCTCTTGCTCGTATCCCGATCCTTTTTCATATTATGGTAGCTCAGTGACTGACTGTCTGGAAGTCCAGTAAATGGTCTAACTACTACAGTAGATTCGGCTGGAGCAGGAATGCTCTGTCTGTCCAGACTCTGCCCTCCCCCCATGCTCCTTGCTGTGGAAGAGCTCTGGCACGTCGCCAGACAGGAGGAGGCGGAAGATGTGCGCCTTTCTATCCCAGGGGTTATTGGATTACACCCATCACGGAGAGTTTCCTTGCCGCTCTTCCTTCCCCCGTGCAATCATTCCCTACCATCTATGCACGCCACTGCCCCCACAGTCCTTGCTCGCAAGGGTGGGGGGCCGTCAGAACCCACAACAGGAACTGGGGCCTCTGGGTACTTCCTGGCCTCTTAACTCCTTCCCCTCCCCTTCACTCCAGGGTAACAAATGTGATTTCATGTTCCTTATCACGCTCTTCTATTAGATTCCCAGTTCAGCAGTTTCTTTAATGAGAGGTAACTAAGCTGAAACAACAAGGTCATGCCCTTTAACTGAGAGCACAAGTGGTACAAAAGGCTGGTTATGGTGACAGGCAAGGTGCCCTGTGCCCAGAACATCAGGAATGGGGACTGTCGATTATGTGCTTTATTTTTAAATAATATGTATTGCCCTTTTTGCTAATCACAGTGCCCCACAGTGGATTATAAACCTCAGGGTTAAGAATCATCAAGTACTCCGTGTATGAAATATGAGATACCAATAATAAACAATAAGAAGTGCTAGAAATTTTCGTGGATGTGCTAATGTGACTACAAAACTACCAAGGATTTTAAAAGGTCTGTGAACAGTTCTGTCTATTACTCAAATCTCACCCTTTTTCCTTTCTAGAACTCATTTAAAGTTACATGAAAGGAATCTGTAGTTGTGGTGAACTTTGTTTTACAAGTAGAGCTCTGTAATATGTAAGGGTTTGGGGCAAAAAGAGGGACAGAGTTTATATCCTATAGTGTGCATCCTTAGGATGGCCTTCCACCTGGTGCCCTCCAGATCTGTTGGACTGCAACTCCCAGCTTCCCTTAGGAAACAGCAGGAGTTGCTGTGCGACACATCTACCAGGGAAAGTCTGCTTTAGCTGCATCCAGACCAAAGGGTGTGTGATTTTGTAGCCAGAGTAGAAGTGTTGGTGGTGGTACCAGCGGGGCGGGGTGGAGGGAGGATTTGGAAGAATATGCTCCTGAAAGCAAGATTGCTTTTCCTTCAGACTTGGCCAGGCAGGCTGTTCAGTCACTTCTGTGGAATTAGCAAAGCCCATCTTCAATAGAGAAAGTAACGGCATATTGCCAAAGGTTTGAAAACAGGGACAAGAATAGGAAACCAGGTATGAGAGCCAACAGGGCTGGGGGCTGTGGAATGGCTCCAGGATAATAAAGAGAAATTGCTGCTGGAATAGGGATGGGGAACAGGAGGTTTGGGTTTATTTTGTGTGTTGGGGAGTGAGGGGGGCGGTCAGATGCAATTTCCTCCAAAAGAATCTTCTTTAGGGAATGTTCTTTGTAGCAGAATATCTTGGCTGTATAACATAATGCATGTTGCTTATTTTTAAGTAGGCCAGAGAGCAATTCCTCTCCACCTGCCACCTTTAAATCCTTTTTAAAAAGTTTCCATAGCTGTTCAATAAATCTAGGCAGGCACAGTGCAATTTATGTGTTCTTGGTTGGATCTAGTTTGGAGGCAAACAGTATGTATGTGTACCTGGGGGTGGGGGCGCAATTAGCTGCCACCTAAGTGGCCAGTGACCTCCTGCAGAGCTGTAGTTCTGGGCTGCAATTCTGGGCTGGAACAATCTGTCTTTCCTTGTTCACCGAACATGTTCAGAGAGAGAGAGGCACTCATTGT